AATCCCAGCTCTGGGAATATGAATATATTAAACTCTACTATATATAGAGCTTTCTTAAAGGGAAGAAATTTGAGAAATACGTAAAACAGAATAAAAGATTAAGGCTCCACAAGAATAGAGCTTACCTCCAATTCTCTTGGCCTCTTGCAATTTCTAGTATCGGGCTTTACAAGGTGATTTGCCATCATATTCTGGAGGCACCAGCTATAAAACTTAGAACAACGCCAGATTTAGGTACAACTCCATGCTACAGCTCTCTGGAATCTTTCCCTTTTTCCCACTCCTACTGCTGCTGTTAATTTAGACTGTCATTATCTGTCACTTTCCTAAACTCAATTTCTCCCTCCTCTAAATCATTCTATCAACTGCTCTTTGGGTATCAAAACTTTGATTCCTGCATTCCCTTAACTCAAAAACTTTCATTGTTCCATACCATGAAATTCCATGGTATGGCCTATAAGGTCCCGTATTAGCTGGTGCCAGCCTACTAGTCCAGTCATTTTCAACTACTCCTCTCTATGTACTTAGCCAAATGATCCTCTCTGGCAATTCTGCCTTGTTTCAGGACTGGCTCAGTTAAGATTCTTCTTTCTTCACAAAATCTTAACGTTGAAACAGGTCTTAAAGTTCATCTAATTCAACCTCATTTTTTAAAAGTGAGAAAACAGGCACAGTGATGGTGGACCCAGTGAAACCCTAAGGCTGAGCTAGACTAGAACCGAGATCTCACTCTTCGGGTCTGCGATTATTCTCACTGTCCTACCCTACTTTAAAGTAGCTTCAAATTTTACTTTTACTTTCCCATAAATTCGTAAGGCATTTTCCCTAGGAGTCTAAATGTTGAAACCTGGAAGGGTATAGTCTCTACGTCTTTGAGATGAGGGGAGCCCTGTCCATATTCGCTATCAATTGAGGTTTTTTTGCTGTTTTTGAGAAACAATGCCGACTTGGGTAACTCTGATTCGTCCTATAGAACATGCATACATAGAAAACAGAAAGAGCAACAACAAATTAGAAACATGTTTGTTAAGTAAATTCTGTATTGAACATCTCCATTCCTCCCAGTATCTTTATAATATGTAAGTTTAAGTACTGTAATAGTATTAATAGTATCTAGAAAACATTGTACATGCAGAGTTAACTTTGCCTTGGTAGTTGGAAAATACTTCAGAGAAGCCAAAAGGTGGATTTTTTTCACTCCCCCTTCCCCTTCTAATCCTCTCTTTCTCCTTCACCTTTCTCTTCTCTCCCAAAGTAACACTGTGCACCTATGTCAAATGAAAATTTACGATCAGGTAAGTCTGTTTCCGCAAAAATAAGTTAGCTTTCCTGTCATAGCTCAAGGCCTCAGCTGATCCAGGCATGGTGGACGGGCTGGTCTTTGCCGTGTGACAAACACCCGCCACTACCCCCGGCTCTGCGACCTTAGGCTTAGTGGTCTGGCTGTTACTAAGCACTGTCCCCTCGGCCTCATGCAGCTGTTTCCTTCTAGTCTTCTCCCGCTTCTCAATGCCATTCTGGCCCCTCAGGCCATCTCACCTCCATTTTTCCTCACTTCCTGCCGCCCCTCCCCACTTCCTCCCTACTAATGCTTGTGTCCCACTAGAGCCCCTCAGAAGAACCTTCCATCCTCCCGCCCTTCCTTATGTCACACTCAGTTACATTCTCACAGGGGCCCATCCCTTCAGCCCCACCCCAAGGCCAATGTACTTCGTGGTGTGGGGACCTTCCTCCTCAGCAAACACGCGGGCGTGAGGGGCGGGGTGCTGGGTTTCGTGCGTGGAGATAGCGGCCGCACTCCCATCAGCCCCTGCGTGAGTCACGTGACAGTCGCCCCCCACCACCCGCGCCCAGCCCCGCCCCACCCTGCCCGCAGCCTCCCAGAGCCTGGCCCTGCAGAAGGGCAGCTTTTTTCTGGGTTTCTCCCGCCCATTCCCCTCGACTTGGAATAGTCGTGAAACAAAAAATCTCTCCCTGCCACCCTATGTGTGTTTGAGTCAGGATAAAACCTGAAACTGGCAAAGAAAGAACAAGGAACACTTGCCAAAGCAAGGCCAGGGTGTGTCTCAACAGCTTGGAATCTCAGGAAAGGAACACAAAATAGCACATCCACGGCCTCTTTTAGAACAAAAGTTACTTGGTTTGCTTGCAGGAAGGGTTTAAAACCGCGTTTGCAAATGGTCTGTTTGCAGGAAGATTTTAATCACGTGTTCCCCTGGTCTACAAGCCAGGCTTTTGGATGCAGAGCCTCAGTTCCTGACCCTCTTCATCACTGGTGCAACCAAACTTTCAGAACCACACCTCCCTAGAAAATTCTTTCCCAGATCTGTCAATAAGTTTAGTCAATTTAATTGGCAGCAGCTATCAAAAAGTATTCTGTGATACATGTGGTTCACATACTTGTAGCTTTGCCTTATCAAATGTGACAACATTTAATTGGAGACTTTGACCTGCAATTTCAAAGACAGACATTCCAAGTTTATGCCCAGTTAGTTGATGTGGAAGAAAAAAAACAAAGCAAATTAACTGATAACACAAAGGTCAATAACACCCATACATAAGCTCCAGGTACAAAATCTTACATCTTAGAGAACTGTATTTAACACTTACATGTATCACTAATTTTTTTTTCCTTTTGTTTATTAAATGTTAGTTATCATCAAGACTTGCAAGTAGTGGGTATGTATATATGTATTTGCTATTTGTGAAGAAGCCAATTGTTTTAAATAAGTTCCTAGAAAATAAGCACTCAGTGTGTTTAATTTGAGTTGCTAATATTGTGAAATATAAGCCACGTGCTAAATACTAGACTAGATAACTATGGAGAAGTAAGGAGTCTCAAAATTGTCCAAACAAAATAGCAATCTGTGTTGAATTTTTACCCTCTGTGGTAAAATGAAGGGAAAAGTAATGAAAGTTTAGTTTTCTTTGATTTTTATCTTTATCGTTTCAGGCTCTTGAGCAGTATAAAGTTTTCATCAAGTCAAATACATCCACTTTAAAGGACTGTCCTTTATTCTGATACCATGTCCTTCCTAATTTGGGGGGCACAGGTAAGATAAGTTTTATGAAATAAAAAGTTTTAAAACTTTACATTTTTAAGTGTCCTTTCTTGGTAAAATATAGAGTTGTCCATTATGTTTATCTCTTCCTCCTTATTATCATGATTGCTCTTATTATTTTTAATGGTTCATTAAATCCAAAGGTCTGGAAAATACTCATATAATTCAGCTCACAGCCTTCACATTGTATGATATCCAAATAGGTGGTTATCCATCTAATTCTTAAAATATTTCCAGGAAAAATGATTCCACCTAATGCATAAATGCTTTCGTCAGGTTAAGAGAACACTATGGACATTTTATTTTTAAAATCTCACATCAATTGTATAAGTGAAATGGGTAAGAATAAGTGAGAGAATATAGATCTTGTTATCTAGAGCTTTAAAATCTTCAAAGGGCTGTCATCATTATCTCATTTAATCTTTAAAAACAATTCTATGAAGTACAAAGGACACTGAGACATACTGATTGCTCTGTATCAAAGAAAAAAATGTTTGTCTCAAAACTTCAAAATGTGTAAATTGTACATTCTGCATTTTAACAGCTGGAGAAAATTCATTGGCAATGGAATATTTAAAATTAGAGCTTGTTTAGTGCTCGCTTCTGATCACTACTTGATCCCATTTCATGCTTTCATGTTAATTGGCCCAATTGGACTCTATAGTTGGAAGATGAAAACTTACTATTTCAACTTTAGTCATGTATGTATTCTTATCATATACTTCTTAAATGTACTATTTTTTTTCTTCTGATTGTCACCACACGAGTCACTTCCAACCACCCTGCCACAGACCTCCTTTGTAATCACTGCTGAAGGACATGATGTTTTTATGACTTCCCAAAATGAAAACCCTATCTTGTTTTTAAAACAAACAAACAAAAAGTGGTGTTTATGTAAGCATTTTGTTCCCTGACTCTAGGAAGCACTCTGTTTGTATACCATCTCTGTACTAGCAAAAAATGAAAACAAATCCCACCTTGCTAATTCCCTTCCTAGCAAAGTAATACAGTTTAGCACATGTTCAAAAAAAAAAAAATAGCTAAGAAATTCTGTTTCCACTAATTATTTTCAAGACTGTGATATTTACGCTCTTCTCTTTAAAAGTTGCATTTTATAAGACTATTTTTTAACAAATGAGCATAAGCCCTAAAAATACGTATCCTTAAATTGCATTTCAAATATTTTAAGTCAGTCTTTGCTATCATTCCAGGAATGGAAAGTTTTAACACTGGAAACTGTTAAGTAAACATTTGCCCTTGTAACTGAATTTTGGTATCTCTCTCCCCAAGTTTACTTTCTGTTGCAGGAAATTTTAAAATTGTTAAATAAAATTCTAATGATGGTATGCATGTGGCTTGCATCTGATATAGCAGATAAAGAAGTTTTATAAAAATGGACTCCTGTTCCACTAAAAAGTAAATATTAATGACCTGTATCAACTACCCTTTGACACCGTTTTGAGCTTGGGAGGGAGGGGAAGTCCTGAATGAGGTTATAAAGTAAAAGAAAATATTTTACAAAATGTTTCTTTCTTAAAAAGTTATATTTTAGAAATATTTTAAGTGTTGTAACATTGTAGGAATTACCCCAATAGGACTGATTATTCTGCATTGTAAGGTAAGAAAAAGCTTTGTGATGAAATGTGACCAGGAAGTCTGAAAATGAGGAGAGATAGATGAGAAAAGAAGATGCTTCTGATGGACTAAGGAGGTGCTTTCGTAAAGTGTTTGTGTGTACTTCAGAAAAAGGTACAAGTTTTGGAAGGCACAGAGCCCCAACTTTTACAGAAGAAAATATTTCATTAAAATAGTGATATTACATGAAAAGAAATACTCGTAACTTCTTCCACTTCAAGAGAGCCTGTTAGAAGGCGGGCCCAAGGCGTGCCAGCATTAGTCTCCTCCCCTCCTCCACCTTCTTCCTCATTCTCTCCCCGGCGCCTGGCCCTTTGCTTCCCCGGCGACTGCCTGCACAGGCAGCAAGGAGTTGTTTCCCAGTGCACTCCTGGCTGCCAGTTCTGGCTGCAGCTGCCACCTCTAGCTGCTAAAGTGGCTGTCACCTGCTGCAATCTACACAGCCTTGGGACGAGAAAAGGGACCTCAGACCTTCCAGATCGCTTCCACTTGCAAGAAACTATTTGTCACAGGTAAGAAATTTCATTCCTCTTTATTTTAGAAAGCCAGCCATGGCAATTAGACGAAAATAAGCTAGAAAAGCAATTGAGAGGAATATAAACCATTTAACATCACTACAATGAGCAGTGTCAACGTAAGAAATATAAGCAAAGTCAGAATAGAATTATTTTCTTTTATTAAACATGGGAGAGTATCACTTTAGAGGAGAGGTTCTCAAACTTTTTGCTCTCATAATTTATTTACACTAAGCATATCACGTTAGCATAAGTAACAATTTTAATTAAAGATGACTATACATTTTTTCTTTTTTTTTTTTTTTTTTTTGAGACAGAGTCTCACTCTGTCACCCAGGCTGGAGTGCAGTGGCACAATCTTGGCTCACTGCAACCTCCACCTCCCAGGTTCAAGCAATTCTCCTGCCTCAGCCTCCCAAGTAGCTGGGGCTATAGGCATGCACCACCACGCCCAACTAATTTTTGTATTTTTAGTAAAGACACGGTTTCACCATGTTGGCCAGGCTGATCTCGGACTCCTGACCTCATGATCCACCCGCCTCGGCCTCTCAAACTGCTGGGATTACAGGCGTGAGCCACTGCACCTGGCCAACTATGTACTTTTTAAACAACAACAAAAAAACAAGCGTAAAGAGTAACACTTTTTTTCTACAAGTGTTTTAACTGGTTTAATAGAAGCCAGATAGATGAGCTGGATTCTCATCTCTTTGCATTCAGACTACTGCAATATTGCTCAGAATGTAGCCTCTGGTAAACTCTGTTGTACGCTCATGAGAGAATGAGTGAAAAAGACGAATTACATCTTAGAATTATTAGAAATAGCTTTCACTTTAAGAACTTCCTGAGAATCACTATTTTAGAGGGGTAAAATAAATAAGCTTCTCTTTAAAGCGAGTCTCAAGACGGAATCAGTTACATTAAAAGCAAGCAAAAAATTTGCCCATGGTTGGTCATCTTCTAGAACCTGCCCCTAACACCTTTGGGCTTGGCTACAATTGGATAAGATAGAATTCCCCAGGATAATTTTGTTTCACAGTAAGGGAAGGGCTAAATAAATATCTCTATTTGAAGTTGAATAACAAAAATTAGGACACCCTAAATTTTGGGACAACTGAAATTCCTCTTTTTGCCTATATTAAGCTACTTAAAGTTCTATTAAATTTTCCTTCAGGCCAGTTGCAGTAGCTCATGCCTGGAATCTCAGCACTTTGGGAAACAGAGGCAGGAGGATTGCCTGAGCCCAGGAATTTGAGAACAACCAGGGCAGCATCAACACTACAAAACATAAATCATTAGCTGGGTGTGTCGGTGCATGCCTGTAGAGCTACTGAGGATACTGAGGATTGCTTGAGCCCAGGAGGTTGAATCTGTGGTAAACTGGGCCACTGGGCATCAAAGTGAGACTTTCTCAAAAAAAAAAAAAAAAAAAAACTTTCTTCAAAAATAACTTTTTATCTGCAATGTTTTCCTATTGCCTATGAGATTAAATTTACTGTTTTATGTGATTTCCAGTGCCCTCCATACTCTAATCTCACTTTACCTTGTGTTCACTGCAAAACAGCAGGACTGTTCCACTGCAATCCAAAAATCACAGGCTGGGTACAGTGGCTCACACCTATAATCCCAACACTTTGGAAGGCCAAGGAAGGTGGATCCCTTCCACTCAGGAGTTCAAAAGCAGCCTGAGTGGCATGGCAAAACCCTGTCTCTCCAAAAAAATACAAAAAATTAGTCAGATGTGGTAGCACGTGCCTGTAGTCCCAACTACTCAGGAGGCTGAGGCAAGAGGATCACTTGATCCCAGGAGGTCAAGCCTACAGTGAGCTGTGTTTTTCGCATCACTGTACTCCAGCCTGGGTGAGAGAGCAAGACTGTGTCTCAAAAACAAAAAATCACTCTATTCAGTTCACCTCCAACACATCATTTTTTTGATTATCGCATAAATGCTGGTCCATTTCCTTCTCTATTCATATCTTTAAGCATTCTTTGAGATTCGATTCAATTCTCCTTTTCAAACTAGGCCATTTAAACTACATCAGTTCCATTTTGATATTTTGTTTTGAGTCTGTATTTAGCAGTTTATTAATTATGACTTTTATAATTAATTATCTAATTTTTAAAGTTTTCTTCTCTTCTCACCTCTTCCACACTCATATACACGCATTCATAATAAGATGGCAAAGTTTTCAAGGACAAATGATTTATAGAACTGAAAAGTTTGTGGGTCAGTCACATACACACACAAAAAAGAACTGAAAACTTAGGTTTTGATCTTGTTGCTGTCAAGATAACTATTTACCTGATTTCAGGCAATTAGTTATGTAGCATGCTCCCTCATTTTATCCCATACCTATTCAACAGGATTGGAATTCCACAGCAAGGATAAACATAATCATGGTTGCTTTTCAAGTTTAAGGCATTTTAACTTTTAATCTGCTAGTATGTTTGTTGTTGTCTAAGATGGAGTCTTGCTTTGTCACCCAGGCTGGAGTACAGTGGCATGAACTTGGCTCACTGCAGCCTCCACCTCATTCCATCAATTCTCTTGCCTCAGCATCCCAAGTATCTGGGACTACAAGGCACGTGCCACTATACTCAGCTAATTTTTGTATTTTTAGTAGAGACAGGGTTTTACCATGTTGGCCAGGCTGGTCTCGAACACCTGACCTCAAGTGATCTGCCTGCCTCGGCCTCCCACAGTGCTGGGATTACAGGCATATGCCACCTTGCCTGGCCTAATAGTATGTTTCTAAACTCTTAGTGGCTTAACAATGCTGGTTGTATAATAAATATTCCATAAATATGTATTATCTTAGAACTATGAAGAAGTGGTTACTAGGCCATTTGCCACATATTAATGGTTCTCTCCTTACAGCCTTAACTAGAGTCTAGAATTGCAGGTTGCTAGAGGTGAAACAGACCTTAAAGATTGACTATCCAACTTCCTTGTCCAAATGAGGAAACTGAGACCCTTAGAATTAAGTGACTTGCCCCAGACAAAACTGGAACTCATGTGGCCTAATTTCCATAATGAAATTCTGCCATTCACTAGCCTCTGCCTAGTTTTCAAAGTATTGCAATAACTAAAACTTTTTGTTTGTTTGTTTGTTTTAAAGAACAAATTGTCACTGCTTACTCCTGGGAGGATCTTTCTGAGGTGGTTTATAACTTTAAAAAAAAAAAAGTCGGGCCGGGCGTGGTGGCTCACGCCTGTAATCCCAGCACTTTGGGAGGCCGAGGCGGGTGGATCACGAGGTCAAGAGATCGAGACCATCCTGG